CGGGTCGATCAAGGAAGGGATCATGGAGTTGATGGAGGATCGCCTGCGGGCATTCAGGAGCGATTGGGCATCTGGCCAGTCGGGGTCACGCACACTGTCCTTCAAGGACTTCAGGGGCAGTGGTGCGCCAGATTTCCATGGGGTAAACCCCATTGCTGCCAGGCGATGGATTGCAGACATCGAGTCTGCACAGTTGACTAGCTTCTGCCCCGAGGGGTCGAAGGTGAGATACGCAGCGGGGTGTTTACGGGACCGAGCCCGGGATTGGTGGGAGTCAGTGGGGACTCGTTGGGAGCCTCAGCTATCGAGGCTATGACCTGGTCAGACTTTGTGACCAGGTTCAGGGCAGAGTTTGCGCCGGCTGTCGAGCTTCAACAGCTGGCCAGGGAGTTTCTGGATATGAGACAGACAACGGAGACTGTGGCGGAGATCACCGCCAAGTTCCGGGAGAGGGCTTTGTTGGTGCCCCAGTATGCTGGTGACGAGGATATGAGGAGGACTCGTTATCACGATATGCTTCGAGCTGACATCCGGAGCATGTTAGCTTTTCGGCTTGCCCTACCTTGGACTCTATGATCGCCAGGGCAAGGGAGAGGGAGATAGATTTGGAGCACATCCGGAACGGAAATCTGAGGAGGGACAGGCAGGAGGGGCTTCGGGGAAGAAGCCCAAGGGATCAGATGGGAGGCCGAAAGGCCAGTCAGGACCGAGCCGCTGCAAGAAGTGCGGCAGGCCGCACGAGGGGGCGTGCAGGTTGGGATCGTCAGGCTACAAGTGCGGCAAGTTTGGGCACATCAGCAGGGATTGCACTGCTCCTGCGACAGTTATTCCGACATCGGAGTTGCTGTGTTTCCACTGCAACCAGAGGGGCCACAAGAAGGCCAATTGCCCCATGTTAACAGTTTCAGCGCCAGTGAAGGCGCTAGCTCCAGCGACCCTGTGGATCACGAATGGCCGTCAGGGCAAGGCAGAGGCTCCGGTGGTGAGGAGCCGAGCATTCCAGCTGACTACCGAGGAGGCACGCGCCGCGCCCGATGTGGTGACGGGTATGATTCTTTCCTTCTATCTTTTGTTTTATGTTGTTATGATATTGATATGTGCTCCGTGTGTATATATATGTATTAGGATCGTTCCATGTGAACGGAATCCCAGTTCAGGTATTGTTCGACTCGGGTGCATCCCGATCGTTCGTTTCTCTTGCGCTTAGCAAGAGGTTTCATGAGACTTCAGGCGAGTTAGATTGCCCGTTAGAGGTAGAGATTGCTGACGATCGATCGGTGCAAGCATCGATGGTGTTTCGAGATTGCGTTCTGCGACTGTTTGAGGAGCGTTACCTGGTAGACTTGGTTCCCATTCCATTGCGTGGGAACAAGGTGATTATTGGCATGGATTGGTTGAGCCCTAATGGGGCAGTGATAGACTGCGCGCAGCAGCTAGTGCGAGTCAGGGCCCCAAGCGGGGGAGAGTTAGTGATTCATGGCGAACGGCCACAGTGTGGACCCACTGTATGTTCAGCAGCGAGGGCTAGGCGCTATCTTCAGCAGGGATGCGCGGGATATGTCGCGTATGTGATGGATACCCGGGAGGCGGGTAAGGCGACCGTGAGCGAGGTCCCGGTGGTTCGAGATTTTGCAGATGTTTTCCTGGAGGAACTACCTGGGATACCTCCGGAGCGACAGGTGGAGTTCAGGATTGACCTTATTCCCGGTGCGGCTCCGATAGCCAAAGCACCGTATCGGTTGGCTCCTCCCGAGATGCAGGAGTTGTCTACGCAGCTGCAGGAGCTGCTGGACAAGGGATTTATTCGTCCGAGCTGTTCGCCTTGGGGAGCCCCGATTCTATTTGTGAAGAAGAAGGATGGGTTGCACCGGATGTGTATAGATTACCGGGAGTTGAATAAGATGACGGTAAAGAACCGTTACCCACTCCTGAGGATTGATGACCTCTTTGACCAGCTTCAGGGAGCATCTTGGTTCTCCAAGATTGACTTGCGTTCGGGTTATCATCAGATGAGGGTCAGGGAGGAGGATACGCAGAAGACCGCGTTTCGGACACGTTATGGCCACTATGAGTTTGTGGTGATGCCGTTTGGGCTCACGAATGCTCCTGCCGCGTTCATGGATCTCATGAACCGCGTTTGCAGGCCGATGCTGGATCGGTCTGTGATAGTCTTTATCGATGACATCTTGGTTTATTCCAAGACCCAGGAGGAGCATGAGGACCATCTGAGGGAGGTGTTGGAGGCCCTGAGGAGGGAGAGCTTGTATGCCAAGTTCTCCAAGTGCGAGTTCTGGCTGCGTGAGGTGCAGTTTCTTGGGCACCTCGTCAACCAGAACGGGATTCTGGTCGATCCGGCCAAGGTTGAGGCCGTGATGAGATGGGAGGTTCCGAAGTCTCCATCAAGAGATTCAGAGTTTCTTGGGATTAGCGGGCTACTATCGAGATTTATCCAAGATTTCTCCAGAAGTCGTACCCCTGACACGACTGACGAAGAAAGCGTGGTCTTTCGGTGGGGACCCGAGCAGCAGGCTGCGTTTGAGATGCTGAGACAAAAATTGTGTGAGGCGCCGATCCTAGCCCTGCCTGAGGGCGTAGAGGATTTTGTGGTTTATTGTGATGCGTCCATTTCGGGGTTGGGCGCAGTTCTGATGCAGAGGGGGCATGTCATTGCCTACGCTTCGAGGCAGCTCAAGCCCGACGAGGCGAACTAGTCGACGCACGATTTGGAGTTGGGGGCTGTGGTCTTCGCCCTCAAGATTTGGCGACATTACCTCTACGGGGTTCGTTGTACCATCTACACGGACCACAAGAGTCTGAGGTATCTCATGGACTAGTCGAATCTGAACATGAGGCAGCGTCGGTGGTTGGATGTGGTGAAGGATTATGATTGCGAGATCCTTTACCACCCGGGGAAGACCAATGTGGTGGCCGATGCGCTTAGCCGCAAGGCGGCGCTGATCAGGGACGTATGCATGAGGATGACCGTAGTGACTCCCCTATTGGAGCGAATTCGGGAGGCTCAACAGGAGGCTATCAAGGAGGAGCATCGGAAGAGCGAGCGCGTGGTGGGTCAGGTATCCTCCTTTGATTATGATAGCCGGGGTCTATTGACACTACACCATAGGGTGTGGGTGCCGTATCACGGGGGCGTCCGCCAGATTTTGATGGATGAGGCGCACAAGTCCCGATTCTCTATTCATCCCGGGGCGACGAAGATGTATAGGGATCTCCGTCTGAACTATTGGTGGCCCTGCATGAAGCGGGATGTGGCATGGTACGTAGAGCGGTGCTTGACCTGCAGGAAGGTCAAGGCCGAACATCAGAGACCGCATGGTAAGATGCAGCCGTTGGACATTCCACTGTGGAAATGGGAAGATATCACCATGGATTTTATTACAAAGCTTCCCAGAACCGCGTGTGGAGTGGATTCGATTTAGGTCATCGTGGACCGACTGACCAAGAGTGCTCATTTTATTCCGATTCAGGAGAGCATATCGGCCGAGAAGTTGGCCGATATCTATATCAGGGAAATCGTGGCGCGGCACGGGGTGCCGGTATCAGTGATCTCGGATAGTGATGCACGTTTCACTTCCATATTTTGGAAGAAGTTTCATGACGAGTTGGGCACTCGATTGCATTTTAGCACCGCCTTTCACCCACAGACAGATGGTCAGAGTGAGTGGACCATCCAGACTTTGGAGGACATGTTGCGGGCGTGTGTGTTGGATTTCGGTGGTAGCTGGGATACCTATCTTCCCTTGGCTGAGTTCTCCTACAACAACAACTACCACGCGGGTATTGACCGACCACCATTCGAGATGTTGTACGGGCGGAGGTGTAGAACCCCGATATGTTGGGGTGAAGTTGGCCAGAGAGTCATGGGAAGCACCGAGGTGGTGCTAGAGACGACCGAGAGGATCCAGCAGGTTCGGAGCAGACTTCAGACTGCTCAGAGTCGGCAGAAAAGTTACGCCGACAAGCGTCGATCCGACTTGGAGTTCCAAGTCGGGGATTGATAGCTTCATTTTATTTACTTCTTTTTATAGTTTATTTTAGCATATTTCATTCATAACTTAGATAATTTCCATGCATATTTTCCTTTTTATTATTTTATGACTATTTTCGGGTACTCTCGAATCTTGTGAGCATAATTGCAGGTTTTCGGGTCTAGCGGAGCGGGAGTGTTCGGGACGTATAGGAGGCGATGAGATTTGGTAGACAAAAATGACGTTGGGCTTGATGGGTAGTGGAGATGATGCATGGAGTGATCTTGATGATTATTTGAAGACTTGGAGAGAAATAAGATTTAAATTTGCAAGATGCGGGGGAACATTCAAGCGTATGAAAATTATTAATCGGGCGAGTTCACGAGCTTTGGAGGATTTGGAGAGGTCAAATTGGGCTTTAAATTAAGAAAAACTTGAAGAAAATGGGCTAGGAGGTGATTGGATTCGATCTGGCTAGTGGGATATGCTTTAGAGGCCCAAAATCTCAAAGAAGCCCATGTCAGGCACACCACCGCGCAACCCACCCGCGCAGCAGCACGCGGGTCGCGCAAGGCCCTGCAGGGGTAGTTTCGGAAATTCTTCTTTTGAGCTATTTGAGGAAGGTTGGTGCCCATCTTTTCATACTCTTGGACATCCGATTTTCGAAGATTCTCTCTGGAGTTTTTGGAGACTTTTGAAGGCCAAGAACCCTTGAAGAACATCATATTTTTACCTCTTGATTCTTGCTTAATGTTTGGTACAAATTTCTCTAACTTTGTTTCTTTGTGTTTAGCCATGCTTGGCTAAACTAATCTTGGTTGACTTTTGGTTAATCCTTTGAAATTTTGTTGAATGTTGAAGAATCCATGAACATGTTCTTGAATCTTTATGGGAATGTTTTTGTTTTAACATCT